GATATTTCGGTGTGTGAACTCCTCGGCCTTGACACCGGTTCCCCTACCTTGAACCACACCGACGGTGGGCTTCTGGGCAAGAGCTGTAGTAGCCCTTGCGTGGTTTGAGAACCAACTATATTGACATTGAAACCGCAGTGTTAAATTTACGAGACGCCACGTTTGGAGGGATGGGATTTCCTTTGGAGACTAGTCTTGTCAGTGGAAGCTTGATCGTGTTTGCCGGGGCCCCTTGTGAACACGTTGAGAAACTATAGCCTAAGTGGGAATTGCCCTTGTGAAATTTTCGGTTATGCGATAACTGGATTGTCGTCGTCGACGGTAATGGTGTGGAGGACGTGGCAAACCATAATTCTTTTTTTTCGCTGTGGTGCACACATGTCTTACATTTTACTGATCAAAGGGTGGTTTCAAAGGCCCCAGGTGCAATGGTGGCACTTGGTTACGATAGATTTCTTAAAAATTGAGAATTTACTCCTTATTATGTCCCACGATTCAAGTAGGCGTTCAAACTAAAACATGGACCATCATAGCCGATTTTATATGCCGTTAAAATGTGCTAGTTCCACGGAATTTCGTTCTTTTCTAATAATTTAAACAGACCTTGGATTAGTCACTCTTTCTTTCTACAATAATAGTGTGCAGTTCTTATTAGTGACGTTTTGTTGCTTTAAATCGGCTGGACAACGAAAGTGGACGAGTCAGGTTTTCCTTTTACACACGAGAACTAATTAGAACCCGGGAGAGCTGAGTTTCAAGCTTTCAATTCATTTTTTGTATAACAGTAGACAGTTTTGTTGGGAAGGACGTATGGGCGAAAACTCCTGTTTTCTAGTTAAATTTCCAAGCAGACTACAAATTTGTACCTTGACGTACCGGCGCTTGGCTGGACCATTATCCCATGGACAGACCGGCTTCGAAACATGGCGAAGCCTGGACTACGATTAGGGTCCACTTTGCATTGTATTGAGTCAAAAGTTAGACCCCGCATGTACCAGTCATTACAAAGCCAAAGTTTGGTGTGGTAGAGGGCCGCATATCGATTGAAGGTGCATCAGCAAATGCTGAAGTGAATACTTGACAAAGCAGAATTGAAGGAATATGACTATTCGTCTAAAATTTCTATCCGAGCCGTAAAGTGTTCTTAACGAGAAGAATCGTAAATTTGTCCCCGCATGCCGAAGACCTACACGGATAACATGCAATCGAAGGTAGGTCGAAATCCAACCATTGCAATTCCCCAAGTTTGTGTTATCAAAAGTTATTTTGAGTTAAGCAAACAAAAATTACAAGGACTAGATTGTTCTTATCTGTTGGAATCTGATCTACCTCGTAGCTATCTTGAAGCAACAAATACTGCTTTACTGTGACTAGCTTTTCCTGTTTGTGAGTTAAACTAACTTAAGTAAAAAAGTCGGACCGTTAGTTAAATGCGTGTAATGCGCGACGTAAGAACCTTGGAGTGATTTGACCACACCGACTGGTCTGTGAAATGTTAAATTGATGCGTGGAGCTTGTGGTTGTGTTGCAAAGTTGCAAGTAGGCTGCCAAAAATTGGTGCAGTTCGTGAACGCTCACAAACGAAATTAATCAAAACTATGCATGCGGTGTATGTGAGAAGCCTATATTCAATGAATGAGAACGCCTCAATAGGAATATTTGTTGACGTTATTTATTGGTAACAAGAGGATGTGTATTTATTTAATCCCACACAAAATTGTCAGGTCTTGAAACCAATATTATTGAGTGCCTGGGGTGATTATGACGTGATTATTATCACTGTTGATAAATAAGGCAGTGAAAAGTAGGTACTCTTAGCAAGCACGCTATTAGAGCCAACATACCCCGTGGGTCATGTGTTTAAGGTAAATTTCATCATCTCAAGCTGAAAAATGATTGTGAATTTTCTGTCAATTGTAAAGGGACCTATGTCCGTTCAAAGATTTGTTTGGATTGCTGGAGTGTTCTAACAAAAATATACAACCGCAGTTTCTTCTCTTTACCGGCACCAACCTTGTTATTTCGTGGCTCGCAACGATGAAGTCGTGATCAGATTTGTTAATTCGAGGTCTACTTTTCCTCAATTATTTGCCAGACCAAAATTTACGCATTCGCAAAAATAACAATGACAATTTGTTTCTTGAAATCAGTATTGTCTTTCATTCAACAGAACACTCGTTGGCCTTAATTTTACAAAAAAATTAATGACTTGCGACGTGTTCACAGAAATCATAAGAAAGAATGAAGATGGATTTTACAATTTCTTATCCATTAATGTCAACTTTTGCAAAAAAATAAAGCTCTCTGAAAATATTATACGTCATAATAAGGTAATTGTCGATGCAGACTCCCCCTTTTTCGCCCTAAAGCCGACGTGGAGTAGTGAGACAGGGCTTTGTCACTGGTATCTTCTTTTCCAAAACACCGGGCAAGCAAACTCATAAATGCACGACGAAAATCATGGGATTTGAGCAAAAGTCGACAGTGAACTTCTCGGACACCAGTTTTAAATTTTTGCTTGCGAACAGACTGAAAAGTGGTGCCACGTGGCCATTTTGATTAGAAAAGTTCTTAACTAAACTACAAAACTAATCAACTGAAATAACTCGTACAACTCCAGAGAGAAAAAAATGTTCACATTTTATACACAAATTTATTTCAGATATCACTTTATTAAAAAAATAACTAAGCCTATTTTCAAGGCATAATGTTCTTCACAAGTATTTCCACAAAATGGGTTGAGTTGGAAAAGGTAGTACTTTTGGCCTTTGTAATAAATATAGCATCTATGATAATGCGAGGTCACTTTCTGGGTGTAGTGACATGCTCATCCTCTCGCTGGAATACCGTGAGCTCAAAGCGGCTATCTAGTTGCTTCAAGGTTTCAAGCTTTCTCTTTGTCTACATAGGTTAAAAACACAAACAAAGTTAACGATTATAAATGCATTCTATTCAGTTAACCTATTCAATAATTTTCTTCTTCGACTCAAAAACCACTTCGCGGCAAATACTTCATTTAGGTGTGGAAACGACAGGCAGATCCCCCAAGGCGAATGCGATGATCTGGGAAGATGGGGATTTGATTGGTTGCTAGGGGGCTAAATCGACTGGTATTTTATGCACAAGGTTCTGACCGCTAACCAATAGCAGACGTGTACAATGGGCAATGTCGATTGGTTGGAACTACCAGTAGAGGTCTTGGAACAGATGCAAGAAATATTTGTTGGATTGACGACGCAGTCGTGGTTTAGCGCAAAGTGCGATCGATAAACCGGGACACTCGAAGGCGGGGGTGGCAGACGTGAATTAACACAATTCTCTCCAAGTTTGTTTTCTTATGAGGAGTTTGCACAATCTACTGGAGGCGATTTTATGTAAATAATGTGGTATTTCGAAGATACCAAATGCAGAAGGTGTCCACAATGTTAACCATTTATTGTGGTTTTCAGTTTGTGTGATTAGTCTAGCCTCTTTCTGAAAAGTCGCAGTATAGAAATAAGAATTCCGTACAAGTTTTGACACAGCTGGAAATACTTTTGGACTGTTTCAGACGTTCTGTATGATGCGACGGATCACACGTTTGTAAGATTCAAAAATATTACATCTTTCCAGCTTTTATTTCGGCGATTCAGGGTAGGCTCCACTGTGAGGATTTTTGTACCCTATTTGCTTGACCAGCGTAAAGAAATGGACACTAATTCAGCATGTCACATGAATCGCACTAATCACAAAGTTGATGACATTTTTGAAATGCTTTTTTCATGAGTCTGCAACTCAATCGAAAAGAGACCCTCTGCCAAAACCGCTAAAGGACGATCAAGATTTTGCATTTTGTCTTTCATTGAGTCTCTTCAGAAAACGTGTTCTGAGGCCTTGCTTTCCCAGTAACATTCGTTTTTGCCTTGAAGCTGTCAGAACTTTGGCGTGAATGAAAGGGCTTATGAATACCCCGGGAAAAGCGTAAATCGTGGGTCTGACACTCACTAAGCAAACTGTTCCAGTAGATGCCGAAATTTCTGCATATGAGGGTCCGCATCAAACGTACACAAACTCAGAGCTTGTCAAAGATATAGGCCAACAAATTGCTCAGTATTTGTGAGAAGGGCGTGTCAATGTCTAAACTGCAAATCTGAAAGTGTGATTCAAATTTTGGGGGTATCATGCTTCGCTACTAGTGAGATAAATTTCATCGCAAGCATTTTCGACATTCCCAATTTTTGTTGCAATAGTAGGCAATGCCTCTTCGAACGTCAACTTCTTCCCTCTTAACTTGGATCAGGGGACATCCGTTGAAAGGCTAATCCATACTAGCAGTGAAGATTAGGTTCAATCTCCGTGTTAGTATTCACAGCTAAAATTTGGGCTAAATAGACACCTATGTGTGCAGATATCGGTGCTGGTACAGTCGAAAAGTCAGACTGGATTTTTATGGAATCAAAGCCACCGTAATTGCAAAGAAAGTCTTATATCACCTGCAGTTTGAGTTAACAGTACTGCGAAACGTTGGATGAGTCACTGATATATCGGTGTACGCGGATCTAAAAAAACCAACGCCCTTGGTGTGCCTCACACTGTATGGCTCAGACTGTGGTAGATTTGCTCTCAAAGAAAAATTTACTGATGGTGGATTAGTCGTAAACTTTGGCATGGTGGTGCACCTTGTAACTGATCTAACCAAAGGACACCCCGCACTACAAAAAACCATCATAAATTTTCCACAGCGAACCAAACACTAATACCTTAATTTAGCACAAAACCAATGATTATCAAGCAGAGTAATGAGGAGTAGCTAAACAGGTATTGGGGTTTACTAATAATTTGTATGGAAGTTAAAATGAAGAACTTAATCGAAGCTTTTGAATGACTCCACCAAAGTGTTCCACGAAGGAGTTTCCTCCGGCTGTCCAGACTCAGGTTCCAGTGACAATATCACCAACTGCGGCTCTCTGGATCGACCGATCTGCAGTCGACAAGCTCCATCCAGTTATTCCACACATTGGTCAAATGTTTTAGTCCTAGTAAGGGGATGAGGTTGAATGTAAGTTGGCATTATTTCAAATTTTGGCCAGCCACACTTAATTCGAGGAGTAAACGACGTCGACGCAACAGCCCAACTCAAAGGGGAACGGTACTTTACTTTCTGACAGCTTTTTAATGCAGACACACTCTTTGTCTAGCTGGTCTTGAGTACTGCAATAATTTTTAGTGTCCTTGACTTGTCAATCTTCTCTGACCAGGTTTTCCTGATGGATAAACACAGCCTTTTTAATAAGAGCCGAAGAATTTTCGAAAATTGACCTTGAGATCTGTTTAATGGCTGCCAATAAGCCAAAATTCTCGCATGTTTTGGCAGACCACCTTCCGTTTTTAGCACCGCACGCAGGCTCAAATTTTATTGAATGCGTCAACTGAACCGGGTAATGGAAAATCTAAAATAATTGCATCACGCGGAGTTCAAGACCATTTTGGCGCCTTAATAATTCTATGATACATGGAGTCCTAGAAATGGCAATAATTGAAAGACAATTACTGGTGCACATGCATGAAACGTATTTTCTGGCATTTGACCACAGTGGAAAACATGAAAAGTTTTTACAAAATTTTAATGGCGTGCCTGTGATCGTACCATGTAAAAAATGTTTAGCATGTGGAAAATGAATTCACAATATAGTTTGTTCTACCTGAGAATGAAAGGGAAGTTAACATTATGCCCTGGTCGGTGTACACAGGGCAGAGAATAAACAGTTAATAATTAAATTAACCCAGAAAAAACACAAAGGATAAAAACACTGACTACAACAATGAACGTATTTAATAAATCATTGCAGATGCCAAATTTGTTTAAGGAATGCATTGGTGTTTGCATTGTTACAAGGTCCGCAGGACTTAATCACGTACTACTGGTTGGGCAATAATTGGCTAAGTTTGGTCAACCTAATATTAATCAATAGTGCTGATAAAAATCTACCCAAGACTTCACTGAATTGACTTCCCTTGCCAAAAAATCTTACCCAGATGTCAATAAACAGTGTCCATTGTCGTCGGCACCATCATCCAAGCAGTATCTCAGTTTCCAGCCACTGAAGCCCCTTTGCCTTTCGGACTCCTTGCTTTCAGTCTGAGAATTCGTCACGGCTTGACCGGCGTGGTTATTTCCATATTTCTCTGTGTTGGCAATGAAAGAAGTACACGACGCACATAATTAACTATGGTTTTGCAAAGCACTGAGTTGAAAAATAACACAAAAAATCTGACAAACAAGTAAACAAATTTCTTAGGTCATTTTTTGACCTTGAAGGTGGGTTCACGTAACTTCCCTTAATGCAGGCTGGGATCTGGTGAGAAGCTCAGATGCGGAATGGTGGCGCCCTGAGCCGCCACCCGACATACGCATGCGGGTGGATGCCGAATGGTGCAGGCCTTGGCCCAACGACTATCGTCAAGCCATCATAATCGAGTCGGTCCCAATGCCGAGAAAAAGCGCTGTTGGCAGTGGCTAGCCTCTTTCACCAGTTTGTACTTGTGAGGGCTCGAAATCACGATTAATGTCATCATATCCTCGCACAATTTCATCATTTGTGCGTGATTACCGCCTGCAAAGCCAAGTGTGGGTACAAAAACCTTCGATCAGGTATCATGTCAAAGGCAGATCAGTCACTTATTAAGTGTCTGATGAAATAGGTTGGTGTGAAAGAAAAAAATAATATTCTAACAAAAGATCAAATTTGAAATATGCCACATATAGTCAGACGGACGCAAATGTCGATTTTGAAATATTCGACATCAAAGTGGGTGATCGAAATTACTTTTTTTTAAAGATTAGCGAATGCGTTTATATCTTTGTAGCCTTGACTAGTAGTTCAGCTGTTTCCTGGTGAGGTCTGGTGCTTCGTCAGCAAGTCCAAGCACCAACGCACCAGGTTAAAGCGGCAAAACCATCGGTCAGCCTTGGGAATCAAAAACGCAACTTCACGCATTCGTCCTGGCGCCACCTCATTAACAAAAATAGGCCTACTTGACAATTTCCTAACAGGACTTTATAAGGTAGTTAAGTACCTCAAAATGTAAGATGTGGCCAATTGCAATCATCTTTAGCAGTTGAAGTTCACTTTGCAAGGATGGAACTAAGTACTTCAAGTCCTGAGAACATTAAAAGGGTGTTCCCCATCCAAAGCTGATAGGATTTTCCATGTTTTAAAATATGCCAATAATCAAAATGTCGTCGCACAAACTTTTCACCCCCCTGTGTCCGCGGGGGAAGCAGATGACTGGCTTTGAGGCAGATACCAGTTTCCAGACCGTTAAAAATATTCACTGCAGTGCTAAAAGCACGATGTGGGAAAAACGAGGCCATAGTTGTCTATTTGACATCACTTTTCTTAATTTCGTAATGGTTATACCATGACATATAATGAACCAACCTAATAACTAGGTTAATACGAAACAGTACCTGTTTTTTTATACAGACATCCCAGGTAGTATTATTGGGGACTTCGTCTTTTATTGTAGCTTGGATGTCGCAGTAAGCAATTCATTCCCTTTTCAACGGATGTGTTGTTCACGAATAAATATATATTTTTTTCAATCATGGCTTTATTTAATACGGATAAAAGTCTTGTAAGCGAGCATAACTTTGGCACCAACTTGATACCACCTGACTTCCAGAATTCTACTGATGATATTTCCTACAAATTTGAAACTCCCCTTTTTGTTGAGAACACTGGACTGTGAATTATTCACACGCTTAATAATAATATAGAGTAGTACAGATGTAACTGAACCCTAATTAATATTAAGAGTTGCAAATATATGCACCAGAATTTTATTGTACTATCATGCAACGAATGGCAAAATTGTTTATCATTATTGTGGCGAAGACATTACTGTGCTTAACATTAGCAAGATTTTGAATTATTTACCTTTATTTGTTTAAAGCCATTTGGGGTTCGGTTACATTGGAGCCCTCCTGTACATCTAACAGTGTCTAATTTTCCTAACCCTATATAGAATTTGAACCCAGGATATACTAAGGTAGACGGTAATACCAGTCGAGCAAATTCAACACTAAGGTAGTTGGAAGTGCTATTCGTGACCCATGCTCCGGCAGACACTCCCACGAGAAAATTTATTTGTATGCGTGTGTGTAATATTTCGTCATACAGAGTAAATAGACACAACATGGTAAGAATGCCTACTTGCTTTGTGTGCTCCAATATACCGAAACCTAATGCACACCACGCAATTTCACCTCAATTCACATTCACACAAGTACTTGCTGGCGCTAGGCCCATTAGGCGACCTTGAGCATCCATTCAAACAATTGTTTTTGGATTTCTTATATAATTTGCAGATTAGTTTTATTATCTATGTAATTAAAAACAAGACTCAAAAATGTAAAAAAAACAATCATCTCGATTTTGCGACAAAATTGATTGTATATAATTGGTTTCCGCTCCAATGGTAGTCAGTTAGCTTTGATCACTCATGTCTACCACACCTGCGCCTGGCTCTCTTGAGGCAGAATGTCCTGGGGGTCTAGACTGGGCCTGGTACGGCCTGGGCGAGTGCATCAGATCGACCCAGGATAAAGTCTCCATTGCATTTGGTGTGCTGAGCATCGTCTCGTGGTGTTTTTTTGGATTCCCACAGATCTACGAGAACTGTGTTAGAAAGATGCCAGACTCGGCAGTCTCAGCGTTTCTTCTGGTCTTTTGGTTGCTTGGAGATTCCCTTAATTTTATTGGCGCCTTCTTGACAGGCCAGCTCTTTTTGCAGGTAAGTATAGTGGGGTCGAAATTGGGGAATTTTACGCATTAACGCCTTAAAACTTTATTTAACAAAACCATTTATTCACCAATGTGTGTGGGGAATAGTTAATTTTGCTTTACCTAGTTAGGTCTAAAGGCGTTTTGTCGTCTTGTTTCAATTTAACCAATCTTTTTTCGGAGAACTCATCCGATTAAGTCCCTTGATTGCTGTCCATGCAATCCTTTATCAGATTTTAGTCTGGTTGGCATAAAATACATTTAAATTCTTCATTGGAGTGATTTTACCTTTACCGTGTTAAGTGCATCACTTAAAATTCGAGTTATAAATACGGAGGTCATTTGACATCACTCCTGGGTGGGCTAACAGATGAGTTGTTTTAATGCACCAACAATTAAAACAATGCTGGTGGTAATCAGTAGTTGTTTAGATATTAGTGCCTATGAGGTTATTTAGCCTAAGTGAAACTTAAACATTTAGAAAATGCATGCAAGATCTGCAGAAAAATTTGTTCCGTCAAGCTTGTCCACGTACTTCTGATCGGTAGTCGTCCAAAGGCGGAAGAGCCTTATTCATTAAAATATTTTGCGTTTAAAGATGATAACCTGTAAACTATTCTTCAAAGCTAAAAGCGCACGGGTACTTCTCATACATACCCACGTTTTCTACCACGTGGATCATTGAAACAACCTCTAATTATGTGTATGTCAATTTTGTTAGAAACTTCTCGCTGGCTACACAGTCCTTATCGATATTATTCTCTGCGTTCAATACCTGTACTACCTAATTCTCCACAAAGTGCAGCTTAAAAGTAAGTTCGCATACTGCCTTTATGGTAAGAATTGGGACTACTTGATTTTAATGCATGAAATCAGCTTAAGATGTGATAGTTGATAAGCATTTTGTGCTGGAGGATTTGCGTGACCCGTAGGTTCTGCCGTCAACATAAACAACCCCGAGGTTAAGTAAGTCAACAACAACAAAATTGCAGAGAATACTCGAAAACGTCCGTATAGAAGTAGGTGTGCTACTTTATAAATTGCTACCAATTCATAAGAAGCATTTAAGTCACAAATAAATTCAGCGTCGCGAACTTCGCTCTGTGCAACATTCAATTAGCGTAGTCAGTTCTAGACTTGATTGGTCAGTGAAACAGAGTAAGCTAGATCAGTGAAAGGGCAAAAGGCAGGTAACAGGGTTCCTAAACAAGCCCTGATATCAGTAATAAAATGTCGAATTCACAACCTGATCCTATTCTGTTTTGACTAGCACAGGGCTACAAGTCTGAACCATGCATAAATTTACCCAGTTAATGACTTCTGAATCACCACAGACGAATAGTGCTGTTAATCTCCTTAAGTGCTATGTAGCAAACACTATGTTTCCTTCCAAATAAGAGAAACATTAAATTCTAGTTCATGGACTCAATGAGCAAACACAGGTCATGCAGCGATACCCTTAAATTAAATTATTTTAATGAGGAAATTATGTTTTTAGTTGGCAGTACTTTTTAAGCACAGCACACCACTTGGTTTTCTTATTGAGTACAAATGTTCTAGTATTAGTGATAATAGGCAATGCTGATTAATTTAAGCCAAGTGAAACCTCGTGATGAGTTGAATATCAACGTACTTAGACTTCCGATGGGTCTTTCATCATCGAAGTCACAAAGATGGCAGATGAGTTTGGCTCTTTTTTGCATCATTTAAAACGGAAAAGTAAACAACAAGCCTTACGCTTTTCGATTTTTGCTGAACGTTTTGGGATTTGTTTCGACTCAGGGCATCCCAAAGTTGAGGACTTGGATGAAGAGGAGGAGGACGCGAAATCCTCAGCTGGCCCCGCACGCAACAAAATATTGGCAACGGTCCTTCTCGGTGTTATCGTGCTGAGTGTCGTGCCTCTACCAATGTCTGGCGAGTCTCCTGTCCCGAGGCAAACATCTGTCAGTGGTCGTCGACTTCTCCAAGCTACTACCACGCCGGACCCATGGGCCGACTTTCTGGCTGTAGGTTAACTTTTGTGCGTGTATGCTATTTAAGATGAAAATTTTTCAGTTATGTGTATTTGTTGAGGGGAAAATACTGCATAAAATAGGAAGTTTGGTCAAACTGAGAGTCGAAATTATAAAAAAACTGTAGCCTAAACGTAATTTTATGGAGATGCTACCTCCACCAACAAAAATATGGAAAGCCGACGAATAAAACCATGATTTGATTTAGTTTGACCTGAATTCCCCATGAAAAACAACCAAAAACAATCGCTATCTTGGCTTTGACGTTTGTTAAAACGTTGCGCACACAAAAACTCCATCTTTAGACAATAGATAATTGCGTTTTTCTTATTTTTATATGAAGACCCCTGGTGAAAAAGTTGGATACGTTTTTGGATGGATGAGCACTATCATGTACGCAGCGGGTCGCATACATCAGATTTTTATGAATGTAAGTTTAAAAAGCCCATTTATGGAGTTCTAATCTCTTTTTTTGTGCCGTATCGTTAAACCGGTTAAGCTGAGCTATGCCCTTTTTGACTAGTCGAGGGCGGTGCAATAGGCGTAGTAAAATTGGTTTCTATGAGACTAACAAACTATAAGTAGTGCATAGCAAGGATGCATCATCTAACACAAAAAGTTTCGAGACGTCCTATTAGTGGAACTGGCTAATTCGCCAATATCCAGAAGCAAGAGATATCAGCAGCAAATCCCACTTGTCTGCATTTACCAACAAGCTTATAGCTTTCCGACCCAGACCTCACGCGTTGCCTGCCATTTGCATGGATCCAGTTTATCCCCATTCCAATATAGTGCGAAAAAAAGAATCTGACTCCAACGATTTTAGATGCCTAATTGTTAAGAGGATGACAAACTCGCCAGTAGACACTAAATTTAAGTAATCTGGTTAAATTAACCTCATTATAAAAGCGGCAGAAATTTTGTTTCATTCACCATGCACATGGCAGAGTAACGATGGATTGGATATAGTGAAATACGCGAATAGGCTCTTCGAATCAATTCTCATGTTATTAATTGTGGAGGAATGGCAGAAACGTTAGACGTAACCGATTGCCACTAACTTTAATACGTTATTTGCAGCAAACCTACCCATAAAATATTATTTACGACTCTCACCCACTCCCTCCTCAAACGAAGTGGGCTGAAAGTCTTGCAATAACACCAAATAAATGCAAAATCTCCACAATCGGCACTCTGTTATCAACAAGTCCCATCCCGAATAAAGCTAAGAAGCCATACACTTGGTTGATAATGCAACCTTGTCGTCGTTATTAAGTAACAAATGCAAGGTTAACAAATGACAGACACTAAAGTTTTACGTCATTAAGAGAAGAATTAATAGTTTGATGATAGGATTAAATTGGCGCTCTATTTCGGGTCCCCGATTTTTAGGAGGATTTGGTTGAAAAGATTGTTTGCCAAAAAAGATTTGCCAAATTGTATTCAAGAAACTCGAAGCCATGTGTAGAACCTTCAAAGTGTTGAAATTTGCTTCCTTTCAATGGTCGCAATTTCGTGGTTCATAGTAGTGTGGCTGGTATACTGAGATGAGGGCCAGTTTCAAGGATCTGGGCAAAGGTGATTAATGTTGATTGCGATTCCAATTTTGTCAGGTGGTGAGGTTCATGAGTTCGTGGATGATCGATTTTTTCATCACTTGAATGGGGAACAAGTGCATAATTCTAACAATGGCGACACCGCCGATGCTGTTGCGGCAGAACCCAAGTACAATTAACCTGTCTCACATAACAGCCGTTCACACAGTGGAACACTGTGAGCGCTAGAGATCGAACCCATTTCCAGTAAATGCTTCGGGATGGTTTTGCCAAATAAAAAGATCTTTCTCCCGAGAGTTACACTTCCATTTCAATTCACGTTCCCTCAACGCCAAACCATGTTTTTGATGTTTAACATTTGATTTTTATATTATGCATTTGACTTGCTGAATTTAGAATAATAATAGTAAGAGCTTTAACAGTCATCAACGCGACACAGAACGATAATGAAATTTTATCAGCAAACTGATTTTAGTTACTTTAAAAGGTTAATATTAAGTTAATATTTGCATCTGACATTGGTTTACATGAAATTCGACCTATCATAGAATTTACATTTTGTCCCCTCATCAAGCATTCGAATCACCATTACTCACCATCCAAGGCTTAATTCCAACTTTACGAAGTCAAAAATCAGTAGACTAAGGAAGGGGTGTTGTGTCTCTCACATCTGGGCCATTCCCTTACCCGCGGTCTTTGCGAAGTTCCGCTCAACAGGCTGCCTGAATCCCACGAGGTCCACTCAGATCCTTTGCTTTCATTTAATGCCGGAAGATCACGCTTCTCTACCCTTCCTCTTTTAGTGGAGGCGAAAATGCACAGAAGGTCTCAGTTTCTATCTCTTCTTCCTCGCTGTTTTGGGCAATACATTTTACTCTTGTCAAATTTTCACAAAGTCGATTGACGCTGTCTTCATCGTGAATTCTTTGCCATGGATCATTGGCAGCATGGGCATCCTGCTATTCGATGCTTTTGTAAGTTCTTACATAAAAAATGTTCGGAAAACGTCTTATTTTACATTTTGAAATAACAACTTAAGGAAAACTGAAAGTATTAAGCGTGTCTGGTTTAATTTCAGCTATTACTCTTTTGTTACCAACCTTGCTATATCTTTCAACCTCAGTGATAGCGCCGCTCACATCCTTAAGACCTTGACAGCACACGTGCTTGAACAGTGCAAATTTCCGGTGATGTTGTTGCGTACACACCCTCCACTCAAGCAGTTAGGTTCGTTGTTGCAATTGAACTCTCGTCTGGCTCGAAACCTTACACCAAACGGTGTAAATCGAGTCATTTGAACCCTGTGCAAGATATTCCTAAGAGCATACTTTGTCTATTCAAGAAAATATAAAAAAGATCTCTGCCTGTCTGAAACATAGTGTCAACTCCCGAATGCGAGGTGTCTGACAGGATTTTATGTTGATGCGACAACTGAAACATCAGTCTGCAAGCAAAAGATGGGTTTAGTACTCGGACTGGGAAGTCTTGTTCCGCGTCATCCCGATAGGAGTGCAGATGGGCGACCGGATACGCAAACACCCCCACTTGCACGTTTGCTACTGCCGCGTCAAGGAAGCTGGCTCCTTAATTCCTGAGTTAGGGTCAATGTCACTTACCTCTTGTTTTGTCCCTGCAGATCAACAAATAAATATTTAATTTCACTTTTAGATTTTGATTCAATTCTTCATTTACCGAGGGAATACAGAGGAAACATTTATCGAGGAGGATATTGAAAACGATGGTGAAAAAAACGATATTCAAGTGGCCAAATTTTAAACATTTTACTATATACATACCCACGTTGACTATGTATATGACATATTTCATAAGTTACCACCGATTATTTTACCTAGTTTTAAGAACTTTCCTTTTATTGGACGCCGGGGTGAAGGTGAACGGGTGGTCATGACTGCAGCTGTTCTCAACTAATTGTTCACGCTGCAGCGACTCCGCACACGTTCTAGCCGGTTTTACCTTTGCAGTAGGTTCAAGGTGATGGATTTTATAATGGGGACATTTCAGTGTGGTACTATGTGGTCATAATAGATCTTTAATGCAGGGTATTCAGGAACTCATTTCAAAACTTAAAAGTTGAACATTCAGTTATTGAAGACGATGTAATTAGCTTGCTTCAAGCTTTTAATTTCCTTGATGTTGTCTGTTTTTCGAAGTTCATCATTAAAGACCCAAAAGAGAATTGGTAATGTAGTCTTGAGCCTAAATTGTCTCAAAATTTGCTCTCTGGACACTTATATCCACGTTTACCAATCGTGTGAAGTACTAAGGTCCTTTATGGCGGGGCGCGACACCAAGCTAGTTTTGTCTCGAAATTAACAGAAATGCAGATAACTTGCCAACATAAATTCCGACAGTTTGACATCACAGTACATGTCATGAAATACGACGAAATGCCCCAGTATGACGCGTTATAGCTGTGATTGCCAACCTACTCGACGAAACGACGTCATCATGATTTCCTTGGTCGCCTAGGCTTGGATCTCGCTTCCGCACACACGAACTCAGATTTCTCTGATGATATTTAGAGGTCGATGACGAAATTCGATTCGAAACTAGCACCAGCCCTTGTGGTTTGCCACACAACTGAGGAATCGCGCGCACATCAGATCCGGAGACATGGTCAGGCAAGCTGTCGACAGATACTTCCACACATTAATTTCGCAAATTAGTTTAAGGATGGTATAACTTTTAATCGGGTTGCCAAGTCTGGCGTGATGTCGCGAGGGTGCCACGTGTCACATGCATTTGAGGTCTCTTGAGCATTCCATCACGTAAGATTTTTCACGCGGATAGGAATTACTTCCCACTAGTTTAACCCCGACTAACATGTTTTTGTGCTTTTTCCCGAAAATGGGGTTAGCGAGAGCAACCGTCAAGATTAGTGGAGAATGCTGACACCCTGGGTAACTCAATTTGTTTCAGGACAACTCAGTGGATACAGGGTAACGAATAACATAATGAAATTTATAAAATAAAGCAATTGCAATAGCAGTTCTAGTTCGTTAAACAATGCAACTCTCATTCAGATTGGCTTGCACTTTTAACGAAATTTGTTTTTGCATAGCTATGATGTTGAAATTAACAGATACTATCCATTTATACTCGTTTTATCTACAGTCTTTTTGCAAAATAATAGGTAACATTGGAAGTATTTTGAAACCTTAGATGAGGTGGAGTAACCTGAAGGGTGATGCTAACTTTTCTAACACCAATTTAGCATTTGTCTATTTAAAAAGCATTTGATAAACCAGCGGTCTGTACTTTTGGCTTAATGTTTGGAATGAAACCTAATGCTGAACAAATCCGACAACTGGCCTACTTCTAAAGCTCGTGTCATACAAAAAATCTGCCATATTTTTGAGAAAAAGAAAAACAATTTAGTATAGAATATAGACGTGGAATATTGCGTGTCCTGAAGTAGTGTCACAAGGCTGTTTGTGTAGGAAAGTTATTTTGATAGTATGAAGTAACCAATATGATTTCTAATGGGAATTCCCATTCTAATACAAGAAAGGAGACAAATTTGCATGGTGAGTAGCTCTCAAGCCGAGGACGAGCATGTCACAAAGTAGCAAATCCAAGATACTATTGACCACCCGAGGAATCCACATCTTCGGCAGTTCGGGTCCAGTCTGCAGAGATGGGTTGGGCTGCCTTGAGCCCTCTCTCACTCTGAAAGACACAAGACTGTTTAATTCACCGGCAACAAATTTAACACAAGGGTTTGGTGTGAGCAACAATTTATATTCAATTTCATTGTGGACACCAGCCTTAAATAGTTGACATCCACTATTAATTTGCCTCCTCGTGTATTTCACTTTATTTCAGGGTTTTCCTTTAATAAAATACCTCGGGAGATGAAGAGGTAGTTAAGTGGTGAAAAAATAACCACGCCTTTAAGGAGGGCTGGCGGCTTATGAGATACTCTTGTCCAGATATTTATAGTAAATATGAGCCCGAAAAACATGTTGACAAAACGGATGTATTTAGGGGGCTTCAAATAGGTGTGGGGATTACTGAGATGCAATTTTAACTGTTTTATTACAAGAGTCTAAATGTAAAAACAGTTCTTTCTCAGGTTCATACGGTTTAAACCATGGGATAGCTTATAGTGTAACTCACAAGCATACGGATTTTGCCAAACCACGCCTAAGGCACTCAAAGTACACGATCCTCATTGTCTCCAGATTCATAAAACGGATCCTGGGAAAAATTTAAGAGAGAAGGACCTCCAGCTCACCATCATTTAAAATCGTGTTTGGCAACTCATGGCTTCTCGAAGGGCTATTTTACTAATATAGAGAATGGACTTTAGTTAACTGGGTCAGTGAGGTGTGATCGTGCACATGCAATGTCGTTTAGAAAATGTGAAAATGTGAAAGGGACTAGGAAGGAATGTTGCATGATAGAAATCCATCAATCCTCCCAGTTGTAACACTAGCGACAGAGGTCGAACTGCAGGCAGGTTGAGTAGTCTGCTTGTAGTGAGACTTAGCTTTGGTAAAGAGCAGTAGCATGCGCATATTCGACTTCAATTGTTTTAAAAAGGAAAGGGCCATGCACAAAAAGTCTCAGCTGACAGACCAATGAATCTTCTCGCCTGTTTAGAGTAGCGAGTATGAGATAATGATGCAAATAAGGTGCTTTGGTGATCAATTAATTTTTCAAGTTATTTGTGGTGAATTCATCCAAATAAAACTATTTTCATGTTAAATTTTTTGAACCCGGTTCATCAGGTTGTCCTCTAAGTGCTTCATGTAGCCTTTCCCATCAGTTGTTAATAGCCTTTGCCTTGGTGCCTTTCATGATCATTGGCTAGGAGCTAATGGCAAGTCGCTGGGATGGAAGGTCACCAGATCTGAGTGCAGGATTAGAGTTTGATACCCCAAAAGATATGTTAACACCCACAACCTGCTGCAAATGATCCTTCTAATTTAGTTGCTTTTACAAAGAAGTGTACGTCTTTTACTGTTTGGTGCTGACCTTACACTATCCATAATTATAGGAATTCGGCTGGTGTTTAGTTCTTGAAATTATTAGTGTATTGAAGGAAGAAAATTGAGTGTAACACGATCTTGCTGGTATCAATGTACACCGTGAACTTTTAATCTAATTGTGGCAGGTCAAAGATTCTTGCGCTGAAGGAAAGCAGATATGGGCTCTCACTTCAAAAAATGTACTGCTGCAAATATCACCAATCTTAAAACCATTTTCGTCTTCTGGTACCTTTTATCGCAGCCTAGTGAGACTCGACAGATGCTGGGCGGTAATGGTCGCCTCACTTCCCTCGAAGAGTGATCAACCTTAATGTGGGATCAAGGATGTTCAACCACAGGAATATTTTCGTGTTACATACTACAGTTGTCTTAGCTAGTGTTAGGCACTGAGTACCGGAAAACAGTGCTCAGATCCACTTAACTGCTGTCGTCCGCCAACGTGAGCAAGCTTGAACCAACTCACACTGTTTGCCTTGGTCTCATGCACACGCAAGCTCGTCTGATGTGCTCAACTGTGTCGACGGTGGACTTTTCGGTGTAGTTAGACGAGAAAACACGACATGCGGACGTCGTACCGATCGACTGCTTTGAGTCTTCAATCCTGGACACAGGACACCGTAGTTAACTGAATTTTCGCCCGATTGTGAACACTCGGTCAGGACGACACACTTAGTCTACTTGCCTTAATGCACGACTCAAAACGCGAAGACTTGGAAACAACCGGAGTGCATCAAGCACAATGTCTGAGACCACAATTCCTTTGTCATGGTCATCTTGACTTAGGTCTTCCAGCTCTTTACGCTTTGGCGGAATCGAACTGGTCTATGACCGACTTTTTGGGGGTAAAGCCAACTTATTTCAGTGAATCCTTGCCTTTAGTGATCAATGCACCCCTATGAGTTGTACACTGAATGGGTCCACTAATGTACAGCTATTTTCACAGGTGGACTTAAGACAACGGTTTGTAAGCATTAAATAAATCTAAAAGTCCTCACATTGACGTCTTGAAATGCTGTTATCCATGTAAAAGGACTAAATTCGGGCAACTTTTAGTTTCAGAAATCTTTGTGGGTACACCACTGGCCTACAACGGTAATTAACTTTAAACAGAAGTTAGTATCAAAATACAAACAATGCTGTTGAGTCAAAAGTAGAAAATTCGTTAATATGTGTCATCGTCCAAGTAAGCACGTAAATTAATGGTGCCAATGATGGTGTGTGATGGCGACAAGTGCTTTAGCAGTCAAGTTCGATGTTGCGATCTCTAATTCCTTGTTTCTTAGTAGCCAACGAGTACACTTAAAGTATTTGCTTACAAATATACCGTCTTAACAACAATGAGGACAACTGAAACGAGCCCACTCCCTTCGCACCGAGTGGGAGTGAGGTCATCGTGAGGGCGACAGCGGCCCAACCAGTCCGACTGGTTCCCGGTGCTGTCAAGCTGTTTGAATGCCCTAAAAAGCAAATTGCACACCCGAGAAGGTACCGTGCTAGAGGAGGGGGATGTTTGGAGAGACTGGTTTAATTTCCATTGCCACTAATCGCTGCGTTTTTATTAGACCCTTAGATCGGGGACAGAGGTTGTAGAGTTTAGATTTTTAGCGTTGACTTTAACACACGGAGGAAGCTTAAAATTCCTTCAAGTTTACAACCACCAATCTTATCACACGGTCTCAACATCTTACCTATGTAAAAACCGTCAACCCGGATTTTCTAACTGACTTTGATTTGCAACTACGGCTACAAAATCACATTGGGAGCAGCAAAGGCCACAAAAAGAGTAGTGTTATCAACCGAGGCTGAACAAATGAAAATTTTCTTTAAAGTACTAGTAAAAGCCATTATAGACATTAAATCAACTCAAATCAGTTGCCATATTTTTTCAACGCGTAGCCACAGCTAATTAACCGCGGAAAGGGCTTTTATGTCAGAATCAAAAAATGAGTAATTTCCTAACCTCCTTGATTATTCCAGTAGGCAAATTTAAGCACTGAAGCTAATCAAGGCTCCAAAGTACCACTGATATGGTTTTTTTGGCATAAAAAATCATGATTTACATTTGTGCTCCGATTGAAACAGAAAAGGTTCGGTAAATGGCTTCACATGCAAATTCCAACCTTTATAATGCTAATGCAATTTAATTACTGCAATAAGAATTGAAAATAAATGACACGAAATCTTCAGGGTTGTGCTCCACAAGGAAGCTCCGGACCACCTACACAAACTGAATTTTTTTATAAAAAAGGAATGGTGATTTTTTCCTCATTTGTAAAAGTACTTGAAGGAGCAGAAGAGGGAAAAAGAAGGTACTCACAACCGGAGATCAAAGCCAGCACCGAAGCCACTGTGACTCAGACCTTCGTCACTGAAATCCACGCACATGGATTCGAACAAGAAGGCTAGTAGAAAAATAGCTTCGACCTGCCACTCAGCATGGAGCGCTGTGTGCCGAATTCGGCAACGTAAGGGATTCGGAATGTTTCGCGCTTAGGGAATGCACGACACGTGGCCACGCAGTTGCCAGAGCGAACCATAGGTTAGGGCTTTCGAAGGATGGCAATTCTCCTATTTACGTCCGCTGGCTGACAGTGGTGGTGCTTTGCACACTTCATGCACCATCATCCAATGTCTTTTGATGTGACCCCACCAGCCACACCCGAAATCCATCGCCATCGTTTCAGTGTCATCAGACCGAAAGGCTTATTTTCTAAAGTAGGGCTCAAATTGCAGTCTTAAGAAGCTAATTCCGGACGATTCATGTTTGCAGCCGAATTTTTGTTATGCTAGCAAAGGCTCAGTGTACTTTCAAGGAAAAAGAGCTGACGTCAACCGTTAGTGCAACCTCCCGCTTAATATTCTCCATCTGTTACCGATAGTCTGCCTATGAGATCATCTATTTAATATTACATATGATGCTTCAGACATAGCTATATCTTTAACTTTACTTCGAGGGTTAAAAATGAGATGAGAATAATCAGTCAATGAGGATGCGCTTCTCCAGAGAGGGTAAATCAATCAAACGAAGACCAACAACCACTTAGTTTGTGCTGATCTTAAGGTAATCAACCCAGCTATGCAGTTTTAACTAGAAGTGCAATTCAGTTGCATTATTTTGAAGTTATGGTTTTAAGACCGAAAGATTACCTAAACCAAAAGCTCAGTCTAGTGGCGACTAGGAGGGCATTAGTCGCATTAGTGGGCACTGCCGAGCGGCAACTTCCCACTTTCCTGGGCGTTGTTAATTAAACCCTGAATGATTACTATATTTAGAAGAAATTAAACGACTCCGATTCAACCTCCCTCGGTTGGGTTATCCAGCTGAAGTCGACTAGACTCAACATATCGGAACCGGGTGAATGGGAGAAGAAACTTAACAATTTATTTCGATAGTTTTATCTACAGCGGTTAAATTGTTTTCTGAAATTTAAGAAAGAGTTGACTTAGTGTCCAGACCTTCAATGTCACAATACAACTGTCGCCTAATAGGTGTGGGTCCTAGGTAAGTGTGGCACATTTGGCACAAATGACGCTTTCTGATTTATCTTTGGGTTGGGCAGCGAAACGGAGTGCATTTAGTGTGATTTCAGGATATCATTAAGCCTACTAAGTCAACTAGAACACACTCAATATTGAGGGGCATTTGTCAACAGTGTAGCGTTTGGTAAAGAGGGTGTGACAAGAATTTGTCGCCAGTTTCTTAAGAAAACCACGCCCTCCTTAGGAAAACCTTAGAAACTTGGCATAGAGAAGCCGATCCAACATAAACTATTTACATTTAGAGTTGAAATAAGCCAATCAGACTAGAGCAATTGGAACTGAGACCATATTTTACTCTGAAAACTGGTGACGTTCTAAATTACTTTAAATTCAAACCCGCAAATACATTCTAACAAAATGGTCACAAATCTCATATTCATGAGTTTAGTTGTTTCGAAAATATCGGTAGTAGTACATAGGTACAAATACCATCAAAAATCAGTAGAATATAATTATGCACAATGCTTAAGGAATCAGTGTTGGCTAACAAACTTTTAGAACACTTTAAAAAATGCCAATTTAGACAGAAATAAGATGGTAATTAAAAGCTGCAAACGACGTTAAATCTGTAGCAAACCACACAATGAATCTCAAAACTAATTTGCATTATGCCAAGTCAGCAGTAGACTGTTTCTAA